GAGAGAGAGAGAGAGAGAGAGAGAGAGAGAGAGAGAGAGAGAGAGAGAGAGAGAGAGAGAGAGAGAGAGAGAGAGAGAGAGAGAGAGAGATCCCGGCCCCAACTGTAAATGTGGTTGGATACATTACAGAAAGAGCTAGTGTGAGTACGCCCTACATAGGGGTGAAAATGCCGACAAGTTGGAAACAGGAGAAGTTTTTTCAAACAATAGGGATTCAACAAACATCGAATTCTCATTAATCATTACTCTGTTGTTTCCTGGTTCTGTGTCGGCCTCTTGTGCATTGCCGTCTTGATGTTACACAGCTTGAAGGTCAAGGGGAAGAAGCTGACTGTCATTGGAGTCGAATTGGCACACAACGAATGGAATGATCCTCTGGAGGCAGAATCGTGTGCCAAACGGGAGGCCCAGGTGGGATTTGCAACTCTGTGAACTTGATTTTCTGACAGGCTGGGTCTTTTCGAATTCCCCCTTTTTTTTTTTTTTCCTTAAACAAAAGAGAACAGGTCCTCATGGTCCTGACGTCATATCCATTCTTGGGAGCGTCAGTCCGGTTCCTTTCCGCCGGCAAGTAAAAAATTGAGATACATGGTGAACACTCCTTCCGTCTGGCCGAAGGAACCCTGATCAGCATTCATTGCTCCCTATCCGGAGGATTGACTGTCAGCTTGCCATGCCACTTTTCCTCTCAGAATCTATTGTGACTCTGTCGGCTGATTCGTGTAAAGTGAGAAAAAAGGATAGTTGTCCATACTGTTGAGATGAAAATCTCAGTTTGCTCATCACTGGTGCACCGTCCTTGTTGGAGGTGTGCTATGCCATTTCTTCCAAATCAATCTGTTAGCTGTCACAGTTGCAATCTTTCCCTGAAGAAGCCAGTTTCTCATGAAGATCCGTCTCTTGATGGCTATCCTTTCTGGTCTGCCGTGTCAGTTTCGGCCATTCCCAGCAACAGTACCCACATTTCTTCTCTTGCCACCTCAGTTCCTTCGATCGTCTTGGTACATTTCCTTTTCCAGATTACCCATGGAGTCAGCTTCCTGAGCAGGTGAAACCATACTTCCTTGCCGCCTTTGGAATTGTTAGTATTGTTGGAAAGGAGCAGGATGTTCAGGGGAGTTGTGGGCGGAGGGGGTGATGAGAAGAGGAGGGACCATAGGTCTGTCTCTTATACACATCTAGATGTGTATAAGAGAGCGGTATAGGGGCGGTATAGGGGGTATAGGTGGGTTTATGAGGGTGTGGGGGGCGGTTTGGGGGTGTTGGGGGGTTGTATGGGGATATTGGTGTGGGGGTGTTGGAGTTCTTGGGGGTTCTGGACCCAAATTTTCTTTTTCTTTTTTGTTTCTTTTTTTGTGGGGTGCTGACGATTCCCGACCGGTAGGTGACGACCAGCCGACCAGTCAAGGGGCGCCGACCGTCGGGGTATGCAACACTGCGTGAGGGCCATGTGAAGAGTGCTGAGCATGTACAGTTTGTGCTTTGGTGGTGAATTGGTGAATGGAGTCGGGATGGCAAAGATGGTGTTGATGATGATGATGGTGGTGTGGCAGTGATGGTGATGATGGTGGCATCTGGATTCGAACTTGGGTCTGTGTGTCAAAAGTTCATACTATGATAATGTGGGATGATGAGGATGATGTCAATGATATCATAATAGTAATGAACCTAACAAAGGCATGATTATGATGATGATAAGGATATATGGAGGAGGGCGGAGCAGAGCAGGATAGGAGGGAGGCACATCTCTATTCATCAGGTGGAGTAAGGGCATACACATACTACGACTTTTTTCCCTACGCTAATAAAATTGCTAAGGGAACCAATCTCTGATCCAGGCCACCTTCGGTCCAACTGGCCCACTGCGTGGATCTTCGGAAACATGTAATAAATCTGAAATCCAGGCCATCGGGTCCTACCTGATCGAAGGGGCCATATCGGTGCATGATCTTTAGATCTTAAGATCGCGCGTCAATCCAGGCCGTTGCCCGGTACCTCAGGCCCGACGACCTTAGATCGTTTGCCTGTTGGAGAGGGCCGCTGTACCTGTACGGTATCTTGGCGCGGTACCTACCGGTAGGGTTTTGTGTTCGGGCAAATCGGTTCCCGCAGGCTGCCCATGATGTAACTACTTTTTGGTGGTGGTGCGTGTACTGTATATGTGTGGGGGCGCAAACCTTTGTGGTGGCAGCATGGGCAAATCCTACGGCGTGGGAAAGACCCAACCCTATGCTACTCTACTCTGTACTATAGACTTCTACTTCCCTATCATATGCTCCTACGCTCGACTATGACCTTACTACTCTACACTACCACACTCCACTTCGACTTGGCATGTGGATACACGCACACACACGACATCCCAGGCAGACTGTCAGGGTTCAACCTGCTGATGAGGCGGTGGATGTCCGACGAAACAGCCTGGCTTAGTCATGCTTTTTTATGGAGTTGCGTATACCGAACATGACAACAAACACACATGCACAAACATACCCAGACTGAACATACGCTACGCTTTTTTACTCGCACATACACAAACACACTCGTGGAGGCTTTCAGACGACCACGTTATGATGGCTGACGGTGCGTTAACTCCACTTTGTTATTGATGTCTGTTACTTTCGTTTCGTTGTTCGCATCAAACTAATAGCATGTGTGTGTGTGTGTGTGTGTGTGTGTGTGTGTGTGTGTGTGTGTGTGTGTGTGTGTGTGAGAGAGAGAGAGAGAGAGAGAGAGCTCTTTATTTTGTTCAAGAGAGAGAGAGCGAGAACTCTACAACGCTCATGCTCATGCTCACGCTTACGCTTACGCGCTCGAAAGCGAGCGAGCGAGCGAGAGAGAGAGAGAGAGAGAGAGAGAGAGAGNGAGAGAGAGAGAGAGAGAGAGAGAGAGAGAGAGAGAGAGAGAGAGAGAGAGAGAGAGAGAGAGAGAGAGAGAGAGAGAGAGAGAGAGAGATCCCGGCCCCAACTGTAAATGTGGTTGGATACATTACAGAAAGAGCTAGTGTGAGTACGCCCTACATAGGGGTGAAAATGCCGACAAGTTGGAAACAGGAGAAGTTTTTTCAAACAATAGGGATTCAACAAACATCGAATTCTCATTAATCATTACTCTGTTGTTTCCTGGTTCTGTGTCGGCCTCTTGTGCATTGCCGTCTTGATGTTACACAGCTTGAAGGTCAAGGGGAAGAAGCTGACTGTCATTGGAGTCGAATTGGCACACAACGAATGGAATGATCCTCTGGAGGCAGAATCGTGTGCCAAACGGGAGGCCCAGGTGGGATTTGCAACTCTGTGAACTTGATTTTCTGACAGGCTGGGTCTTTTCGAATTCCCCCTTTTTTTTTTTTTTCCTTAAACAAAAGAGAACAGGTCCTCATSGTCCTGACGTCATATCCATTCTTGGGAGCGTCAGTCCGGTTCCTTTCCGCCGGCAAGTAAAAAATTGAGATACATGGTGAACACTCCTTCCGTCTGGCCGAAGGAACCCTGATCAGCATTCATTGCTCCCTATCCGGAGGATTGACTGTCAGCTTGCCATGCCACTTTTCCTCTCAGAATCTATTGTGACTCTGTCGGCTGATTCGTGTAAAGTGAGAAAAAAGGATAGTTGTCCATACTGTTGAGATGAAAATCTCAGTTTGCTCATCACTGGTGCACCGTCCTTGTTGGAGGTGTGCTATGCCATTTCTTCCAAATCAATCTGTTAGCTGTCACAGTTGCAATCTTTCCCTGAAGAAGCCAGTTTCTCATGAAGATCCGTCTCTTGATGGCTATCCTTTCTGGTCTGCCGTGTCAGTTTCGGCCATTCCCAGCAACAGTACCCACATTTCTTCTCTTGCCACCTCAGTTCCTTCGATCGTCTTGGTACATTTCCTTTTCCAGATTACCCATGGAGTCAGCTTCCTGAGCAGGTGAAACCATACTTCCTTGCCGCCTTTGGAATTGTTAGTATTGTTGGAAAGGAGCAGGATGTTCAGGGGAGTTGTGGGCGGAGGGGGTGATGAGAAGAGGAGGGACCATAGGTCGTGCACCTTGTTCCATATCCATGCTACTTCCGTGCAGTACAGTAGGCAGTGGGGTATATCTTCCGGGTTGCTGTCTGTGCATAGCCTGCACCGCTCAGAGCTTTCAGGATCCGTATGTTTCCTCCTCTTGTGGAGCCCATTGATTGACCGGCAGCGATGCGTGCGCTAGGAGTCACTCCATGCTTCGAATCCTAACCGGTCTAATGGTCAGGTACTTTGTCCATGGGATGGAAATGGAATCCGTGGGATCCAGATTCAGGATCTCCCTCCACTTTCCTTAGAGCCCGGGGTCCGGGTCTGTGGTTTGCAGACCCAGCTCATAGCTGAATTTGACATCGTAATCAAATATCGTTTTCAAGGTCAGAAATGCCGAGGTCTGGTTGGAAGATTTTCCAAGGTTTGGACTTTGAAACCCTCACTTTTCTTAGTTGGACGGTTTCAAGTGTGTCGCACTGGGGATCTTTGTTCTGGATTTCCAGCTCTTGTAGGTTGTGATTAGCTATGGGGTATGAGTATAATTTAGATAGGTAGCAGAGTGGGTTGGTTCGAGAGACGAATCGATATGCTCTAATAGGCTGGGTATGGGAGACGAGTATGCCCCAATCCCTGGATTTCCACGAGAAGTCCTCCCGTAGGAGGGAGAGCCATTGTACTGGGATACTGTTCTGGATCAACGTTAGGTAGCGACTACTAGCGAGGGAGTGACAGCCTTTTAAGACACTTCATAGCACCTGTTCGGTAGCCCATCATCCTTTGTCCTCTGCCCAGATGTGTTTCACCTGCCACACACCTTTTTCCACCCAGGATAGCCATCTTCGGTCTTTTGTGCGTAGTGCCTATGTCCCTCCGCTAGGGTCGGTGATCCAAGGGTTGCAGAATAGAAGTTGTCTCAGGACCTCTTCTCTGTTTTCTGGTGAACTGTGTTTACTTGGCATCATTCTACGCCAGGTTTTGATGGTGGGACTCCAGTATGAGATGGCTGTTTGCGTGGGGGATGTGATGAGCTCTGTAGGGTTTCTCCTGTGAGGTCTGCCTGATTTGATTACCCAGTCCTTCGCCATGAGCTAGTAGAGACCTCTCATGTTCGGGGGGGAGTTTATGGGCGCCAGGTTTCTGATGTTGTCTAGAGCCATCTGAGTGCAAGGGAGGGATTCTCTGATCAGGATCTTGATAATTTCATCTGCAGTGCTATCGACTCCTGTTTGGGGTTGATTAACCCAAGGCCCCCTTCCTGTGGTTTCCTCGTGATGTGGTTCCAGGCTACCCGGTTGATACACATGGTCCCGTTGGGATCTTCTGTCCACAGGAAGGGATTGTCTGATCAGGATCTTGATAATCCATTTCACCTGCAGTGCTATCGACTCCTGTTTGGGGTCGATTAACC